TGGCGAAACTATAAGGGTTCCTAGTTGACTACGGAACCCTAAAAAGGTAAGGAATGTACACAGAACACAAAAATTACAAAAGAGATTATATATTTTATAGGCAAACTGGCTGAATACAAAACCCTTGACAGTAAAATAAGAAAAAACTCAACGCAACAAAAAACCCTTGCAGCGCTTTTGTAGTACTTTCATTTCAAACTTCCTAACGCGGCACGGGGTAAAACGATGCAACCGAATACAAAAAAGCGCTCACGTTCTTAAAACTAGTAGAGAGATCGTCGCTAAAGGTCTTGTGTCCTGTAATTATTTAAGCGTGATGCTTCACATTGTCAAAGAATGCACATGGAAAGAACGTAATGAGTAACTTTCCACGTGCCTTAGGCATTCGTATGTGAACAACGTTACAGGGTCGCTAAATGGTGCTTTAAAATTTTGTAAGGGCACAGACGAGACTCGTGAAAAAAAGGATGGATGGTACCCATGTCTTCCATAAAAACAAACAAGCCTCCTTGTTTTTTTTTAAGAAAAGGATTTGCATCATAAGAGCGGATGTGTCACTTTTGTATTTTTTTAAACTTTCTATCTTTTGATTGAGCACAATACGACGAAACGACAACAAAACGGCTAAGAGAACTTATATCATATATTCATAAGGTAAACACTAATAATACAAAAATGATTGAGTGTCGGATTAATAGATTATAGAAGCAATAAAACGGGAAAGCGACCAAAATTTCAATGTAAAAAGAAATAAAAACATAATCGACGCTAATGCCTCTTTACATAATACTGGCTGAATGCCCAATCGTTAAAACAATTCAAACAACGCAACGTTCCAAAAAAATGCAAATCTGACAAATTCGCGCGTCACAAATCCAATTCGACAATAAACAAAATCGGCGTCGGCTGGCCATCGAGTTCCTCCAAACTTTCCCAACAATCGCGACGCCAACTTTGTTTTTATTCAAATCACAGCTTACATAATGAATAAGCGGAATACTTTAATATAGGGCGTTGAAATATAGACAATTGTATTTTTTTCTACCATAAGACAACTGTATTTTCCTCGAGGGCGTAATTATTCAGCATAGTGTTTTCGTTAATCCAAGTTTTTTTTCATTTCCTGTTCCATTTTAAATAATAAAATAACACACATACTAAATGTTATTATTTATTAAAGTAGAGGAAATAAAATGTATGTATCGTATGGTAGTGAAAGTTGGGTGTAGCAGAAGAAGCACGAGAGTAGAATAAACTTAGTAGAAATGCGGTCGTTAAGGAGTACGATTTATTTAAAACGGGCAAAATTAGAGTACCCTTAACCGACGAGCATGTATGCGTAGGTATATGGATGTGCAGGAGGCGAGAGAGGTGTGTCAGGATCGTGCCAAATGGAAGTCTGTAGACTCTGCCTACCCCTCTGGGTGACAGGCGCGAGTGTTTATGTTTATGAAATAAAATAATACGACTGTTCCCCATTGAGTTCAAAAGGCTCCAACGAACTACTTACCGCTACCATACGGTTAAATTAATTTAATAAAATTTAACTGGATTGAAATTTGAGAAATAGTTTTGGTTCATTTGTGCTTTATTGCATAGGTCTCATTAATGAAATAAGATACAACATTGCAGGATATTATAACTGTTTTTCATTAAATATTACCATCAAATTTTATACCTTCTAAAGCATTTCTAAAGTAATAAATTTATGAATATAAAGTTCTGTAATAAAATACTTTCGAGTGCTCGGTCGTAATTTTTTAATGTTTTAACGGAGCAGAAGAAACAAGTTGAGTCGTCCATTAAATTTAACATAAACGCATTAGCGAAAAGTAGATATTTTGGTTCCGCTGCGTTTTGCGTTCTGAAAAAACCTCGTTCTTGGAAAAAAACACAACATTTCTTAATAGTTTTCGCTTTTCTAGGTATTTCTTTTCATAATGAAATATTGATAAAAACATTTTTTTAAAATGCTCCATTAAATTTTTCTCTTGTAGCGCGGAGTCGTTTTACATACATACCTATATTGCTCACGAATTACGAGAGAAGGTCTCTGGTAAGCAGGGGACGTGTACAGTCTGTGACCTTACTTTACTTTTTTACACTAGCTGGTAGGTACCAGAGTAATGCTCAACAGACCAGTAAAGTGGCAATAAACCGAAAACCGAAGGGGAAGAAAGGTTTTTGAGTAGCAACCTTACCCTACTAGGTGGCTACGACGACCCAATAAGACCATAAGAAAGTTGATGGGCGGTCAGGACCGTGTTCCGTGGCGTTATTTGAGGGTGGCCTGTGTTCAGTAGCGGACTTGAGAAGGGCTGTAATGATGATTGTAAGAGCCCTGCCTAGGAGTCTCTTCATTTAGGATAGATACCGTACTTTTAAGTATTTGTAACATAACTTTTTTTATAGGATAGGGTAAACGTGCACACAGTCCACCTGATGGTAAATGGTTGCTGTGGCCCATATAGAGTATGCGATTCAAAATGCAGATGCGTTGTCACCCGTGAGCACTAAGATGGAATGCCTCGTTTCCAGCAATAAGGGTCTCCGGTTCTCTACACTCAACATACGAAATACAGCTGCATTAAGCTACTATTTAACGCTGGTATTCTGTGAGAGCGTGGTCCTTCCCCGGTCGAGCCGACCCATTCGTGCTACGACTATACTACTAATATAACTGCAGCATGGCTCTACCACGTATAAAGCTACAATAATAAAATAATAACTACAGGCCTATGGGCGGTGGTATGTATCACTCTTAAACGAATTAACCACAATTCGTTCAAGGTATCACTCTATGGACGTCAGCGTCCACATTCTTACTTATAGACTTGTTTTTATAGAACACTATCAAATACCATTCTTGCATTTAACTCTAACGTGAAATAGCTACGGTTTTGGCTCTTTCATTGAACTGCCATTAACTAAACTAATGCTTCTAATAAAAATGTCACTAGTAATACAAAAGAAAACTTGATTAGCTACGTCAACAGCCGAAAGGGTTGGTGAGTATACGACGTTTACGGTGGGACGTATTTAATTGCGCTGAAAGGATCAAACTTTTACGCGTCGCACAAACGGCATTTAACTTAAAGGAGTCTCCTAACTGGAGTTTACGATAATACTTTAATTTATGCCCGGAATTAAGCAACGCTCAGAGATTTGCCGTGTTGTTTTAGGGCTTGTTTCGAAGCCGGCGCCTGGCCTTAACTGCCTTTTGTAATTAGTAAAAATTAATTTCGAAGAACGCTCGTGGAACGCCGTTCGTAACGTAGTATGACAAAGCCAAATTAATGAGGTCTCTTCTGGTGCCATTAAGACGTCAGACACAAAAAGATTTATTTCAACGCTAAAGTCTTTTATTCAAGACAAGTGCCATTTCTAAACGTCATAAGTACTAAATTAAGCTTTTGTGTTCGTAAGAAACTCTTTTTTTATAGTGTATATTCATTCATATAATAGGTACTAGCTGTTCCCAGGGCAGTTACGACGTCCGCGTGGAATTTATTACGATTGGATTTAATTTTATTTTGAGGAACCCTTATTCTTTTTTCTAAAATAAAAGTAGCCTAAGTTACACCTTATAGCATCAGCTATCTGCCAGTGAAAGTCCCAGAAAAAAGAAACAGGTAGACAGACAAAAAATCAAAAATTCTTTTTTTTTTGTTATAAGACCGTTTATACTTTCATGTGCATTTAGTAAAAAGCTATTATTTTGACATTACAAACGGACACTTTAATTATTATTATATATCTATAGATAGTAACATAATACTAAATAAAATAAAAGTTAGTAACATTAATGTGAAAATAACTTTATGCATATGTTTGTGCTACAATCGCACTTGAACGGCTGGACGAATTCTAATGAAATTTGGCATAGATGTGAATTATGTTGTGACATCAGACATACTATAGTTTCGTAGCAGTTATTAAATAATAAGACTCAAGCGGTGTAAAATAATCAGACTAACGATGATAAAGCTCTACCAGTGAGACTCATGACCAGCAGTGGAATACAATGGACCGGTGAAGAAGAGAGTACAATAGGACTGAATCTGATTGACAGGGTGAGAAATTGTATGATAAGAGAAAAGTTTGGCTTGCAAAATGATATTGTGACCAAGATTAAGAAAGGAATGCTTCGGTGGTATTGTCATATAGAAAGAATGAACGAGGAAAGGATGACAAAGCCACTTAAGCATGTCCACCAAAATGAGGGAATATAACAGAGAATATATAAGAGAATATTCAGAAGTTTTATAACAAAAAAGTGAAAAATGCGACTCAAGCCACAAAAACAAATGGGTGCGTTTGGCAGAAAAAAGCGCTAGCAAGCGCTTGTAAGCAAAATGGCGATCGTAAGCGGTAAGCGCTGTCAAATCGTAAGTAGCTATTTTCCTCCAGGACACGATGTTAGTTTTAACCGGAGAACCTAACCTAATTTAAATATATGTTTGTAAAGTATTCATATTAAAAACTTACCAATCATGAATTTTTAATAACATATATATGTTTATTCATGTCATTATATTACTTAAAACTAATATTGCACAAAACAACTTATAAACTCTACTTCAAAACAAACAAATTAAATAAGCAAAATGGCGGATTGTGTCAGTGCTACTGAAGTAGCAATCGTGTCCTGGCCGAAAACTATTTCAGCGCTTACAAGCGCTTGCTAGCGCTTTTTTCTGCCAAACGCACCCATTGTGTAACGTTTATGAACCTAATGCAGTGTCAGTAAGAGTAGCACAAAGTTGGTCCAAGCGTTTTTGGTCTGGGAATGTTGATGTTAAAGATGCAGTTCGCTCTCGCCCTCATACGGATAAAGTCGATGCCATTTTTTAAGAGTGAAGCAAGATCGGCATATTAGTAGTTTATACAACATAGCCGAGGAATTGAGGATTGACCGCAAAACAGTTTTGACCGCTGTTTGGACGCTGGATTACATCCGTCAGAAACATGTTTTAAAGCAGATTATTGTGAAAGCTTACCTGGGCTTGTGATAGGTCGGGTTGCTGTTAGTTTTAAGTATGTCGGCATTGGGGACGGACGTCGGCAGCGCGTGCTCCCTCTCCAATTCGCTCTCATAGCTCTCCAGTGGGACGTGCTTGCCGGGCAACGGGTCCGCTGAAACAAGGACATTTTAAGTATAATAATGTTTGCGAATGACAAATAAGTTATTTAAGTGAAATAACCGGACGCAAACTAACTTGTGAATTTTTTTTTTCATTTATTCGTAACAACCTATCCACAGTCAACTCCTCCCCATATATATATATGCATGACGATTGTATACAAGAGTAGACTGTGACCAGATATGGATTAATAAGGGCTGATAGATGTGAAGAAGAGTTTCCTGGTCACTTATATGTACATATACATACACAATATGTAACGTAATTAACGCACACCCTCAGACACCCCAATTAGTATATCACGTTATATACGATTCTCAACAAACTACTTTCTCAAAGTGCGTTAATTATGTTACGTGTTGTATATATATATATATATATATATATATATATATATATATATATATATATATATATATGATATAATTTATATTATTATTATCTTCTACCGATAGTTTGCTTCGTAAGGGGTATGTTCATCGCTGACACTCTTGACGACGGGTTTTAGTTTTTTGGTTACTATTGGCAATACTCTGTTGCTCATCTCCTGGGCTCTCCCCCTCTGTCGCCTCTTGCGAGACCCAAGGGACGACATGCTGTAGTGGATATGTTTACACCGCCAGTACTGGCGGTGTAAACATATGCATATGTAAAAATAAAATAACAACGGCAAATGTTGTCTCAAATTAAGAGGATACCTCGAAAGTTAATCGTAGTTTTGGAGGCGTGGCGTGGCGTTAACTATTTTTCGGTGAAGCTCATAGACGACTGAGGGTGTGTCAAAATGGCAGTGATGCATTGTACCTCACGTACGAAAATTATGAAACTATACCGACCACGCGCTTGGAAATAAACTAAGTAAGCCCACACAACATTCTTATTTTTTTTTAAGAAAACTTCCTTATGGATTAAAAATGGTTTATGAGAACTTAGATATGATTATTAACTATGCTTTAAAAATATTTCCATAGACTTATTCGTAAAAATACCGTGTGGCATGGAGAAACGTAACTAATTAGAGCCTACTTTATAATTTTTTCTATCGAGAAAATTACATCATATCGTGTTTTCCTTTTATGCAATCCAAGGTCATATAGTCAAAAATAATATACCAAAAAATTGGTTCGTAATCTGTAAAACTTAAAGAAATATACGGAACAGAAAAACCAAATTTTCGAGGTAACACCTTAATACCCAAATACTCAGACCGCTAACACACGTCAAAATTTTTAATAACGCTAATATATTGAATTACTAAACACAAATAATATATTTACTATTTCTGTATGTGTATTCAGGACAACAAATAGCTATCAGGCTATGTTTATGAATACCTAAGCGCGTATATTGCACGTTGATGAGACTTGAACTGTGTTCGCTTATAAAGCAATCTTCCGGTTAAACTTGTCGCAAAGCTTAATGCCACATAACGGCTTGGGGATTGAGTAAGTACTTAGTCCTTTATGAATAATATATTATAAGTCTTATGATTCATCTTGTTGCGAGTATACTGATATCAAACACAGAGTAGAAATAACGGTTGAAACACACAATTTTGTTATTGGAGTGTCAAAGGAATTATATGGTAGACCAGCTGGTCCCCGCGACTTCGTCCGCGTGAAATTATAGCAATTGGATTTCATGTATTTATTTTTATTTTTTACGCGGAACAATAATTATTTTCCTAAAATAAAAGTAGTCTAAGTTAGCTCTTATAACATCAGCTATCTGCCAGTGAGTCTCGTCAGAATCGGTCAAGCCAATTCGGAGATTAGTCCGAACAAACGGACAGACAGACAAAAATCAATTTTTTTTTAATTTTAAATATTGTATATAATTTAATATGATGTTATTTTGACATTACAAACAGACATTCATATAGTCATATATATATATATATTACGTGCTAGAACCACCCTGCAGCTATATTATGGTTGCAGTACAAATGGTTAGTTCGAACGGGAAGGACCTGGCTTTCACATAACACCAGCGTGAAATAACAGCCTTAATGCTGTTGTGCTTCGTATGGTGAGTGTAGAGAACCGCATACCCTTTTTACTTAATACGTCGCATTCTATCTTAGTACTTAGGGGTGACAACACATTTGTACTTTGGTTCTTAATCGAGAATAGGTTAAGGTGAAGTTGACGCCAAAAGCAGATTTTTCACGATTTATATGGACTGTTTGGTCGGCCCGCGCACTATTTAATCGCACAATATTTATTTGATATTTCTTTTTAAATGATATATACTCTTTTATTAAAAAATATACCCATATTTCACTCACGTATTTACTGGTGAACACATAGCCTGAATTTAATTGAAATTAATTTCATTTCATTCGAATGAAACTGCTTTTTCACTTAGTAGACCTACCTAAAATTGTAGATTTTGAGGAAACTTTGTGATCTTTTTCTATTGAGCCAAAATGTGTCAATCGTGTTTTGGCCACCATAATTCACTAAGAAAAATCTATACTTTCATAATGAATTAAAAAAAATGTGTAGTTTTTAATGACAAAAAATTGCAAGCGTGTAATGCTTTTGGCGCCTACATCACCTTAAGAAGTCTGTCGATCACAGCATCCGCTTACGTAAGATGATCGGGTTCCTTATTTTCTTTATCAGCCCGTGAGAATCCTGCTTAACTGGTGCCTCTTTGAGCGATGTAATCCCCTTATGTTGAGCTATTGATGACCGCTTGTAAGACATATTTTTCAGAGGAGAAAAAAATGTATTAATAAAACTACTACTGTACTTAAATAATAAATTATTTCTTAAAGAATCTTCCTTTCATAATGAAATGCAGTTAATTAAATGTTTGAGGAAATATATTTTTTTATTACATATCACTCAAAAATACACATATTTTTTATAAATGCCATCGTTATGGCCTGTTTATTTTTAAATACATATTTATATACATAAATAATTGCAAAATATTTGATACAATTATTTATGTATATATACATAAAAAGAAAAAGTAACGATTTTGGTTGTACGGTATTATTTATTGCTTAATGAACAAATTTATATCCTGCGGAAAATGGGATGAATGTTATTGCAAAAATAAGTATTTATTGGGGGGTGTGGGATAATTTATGTATCCTTTCGCCTGACCTTTGTCGGTTTATATTTTCAGCTCACGGCTGTGTGAAAACAGATTATTACATGACGCGCCGGGTTTTTATAAATATCTAGCACCTGTAGTTTTTCCCGCCATATGGTTTCGCTGAACTAGACTGTTACTGTGCTGTTACTATGTAGGTGGTCATATCATATTAAATAATCTAATATATAAAAATTAATATTTGTTTCGTTGGTAATTTTATGCGTTGCCATACCGTTCATCAGATAGCGGTAAAACTTTGTCAACATATTGCTTGCACTTCAGCGAAGGTCATAGGAATAGTAGTTATACCCGGTAGGTGGCGCTGTTGTAGGATCCAGATATCACCCGTGCGAAGCCGGGGCAGATCGCTAGTAAATTATAATTTTTGCTCTAGAATATGAAAGAAAATTTATAGTCTATCACACTATCACTGGATGGACTCGAGATTCTGAAAAACAACAGTGTCTTATTGGTATAGATTCCCGAATATGTGGGAAATAGTAGACAACTAGCAAGTCTACAAGCATGCACAGGACGTGTCAAGAAGGACACAACTTGGACTCGAGCCATTTTGTGAAATCTCTTAGAAGCCTGGTCCTGTTTGCCCTTGAAAACCTTTATCGCGAGAATTTTGGACGCCTGATCTAAACTCTAGGCCTTTAAAGACCCACAGGCACTGCAGGTCGCAGTGATACTGGTCTTGCAAGACCAAGGGTAACTTAGTAACGAGTATGTGATCTTCTTTGATTGGATGCCTTGTGACCCTGAGCTGCAATAGCCAATTAACATCAAGTGACCTATTGATACGTTTGTAAAAGTAAAGTTACAGCCTATATACGTCCCACTGCTGGGCACAGGCCTCCTCTCATTTCTGAAAGGGTATTAGGGCAAGGAAGTGTCCACCGCGCTGCCCCAATGCGTGTTCGCGAACTTCACATGTCTTCGAAAAAATATTTTTCATATTTCTCAAACATGCAGGTTTCCTCAAAATTGCAATTAACAATTTCATAGGTGCTGGCGAGGATCGAACTCGGTTTGTTCGCGTACTGTGAAATTTACAGCGAGCGCTAACCATCTGAGCTACCACGGCTTGACAAAATTTGCCTTATTCTATAAAGGCACGTTTGTACCTTTATAGAATAAGGCAAATACTAAAAAACCAAAAACTCTAAAAGTGGGAAGGTCACGGCGTTATCTTGGCAATGATTTTCTTGAAAAATATTTGTACGCCATGAAAACATGCGGGATTCGAAACCGCGCCTGCAGTAAAACGCTTAGACATTGCCTACCGAACCGCCAATGTATGAAAAACTTTCAAGAAAGTGGAAAGGTTGTTTAATATAATAAAAAGTAAAGGCTAAATTACAACCTATATATGTACTACGTCCCACTACTGGGCACAGACCTCGTTTCTGAGAGGGTTATAGGGCTTGCATTATAACAGACACCGGAGGCTTCCTTGGAAGCATCCACCGCGCTACCCCAATGCGTGTTTGCTGACTTCACATATCTTCGAAATATTTTTTTATTTTTTTAGACATGCACATTTCTCACAATTTTTTCTACAGCGCTGAGGTCGTGGTAAATCAGCACTTAAAGTTGCAATTAATAAATCCATTGGCGTTGTTGGGTATCGAACCCGAGTTGCTAGCTGTACTGTGAAATTTACTGTGAACCCTGCTACCTCTTATAATATTTTATAGCATAAGAATAAGGCAAAAATATCACGACCATTTCAAATGAACAATAAAACGAGGAAGCGTCTAAATAATTCGACTACCCGAACTTTTGACAGTCCCATCATACGAAATGAGTATTTATAAGTTTGAGCGAAATCATAAAGTTTTCTCTGGGCACCGCGCTATGTACGCTCAGTAGATAATAGCGAACAATGAGAGGGTCTGTCCGAGCCTCGAATACGATGTTATTTACGTTTCTCACGACTTATCAAATTCTTAGTTCAGTGGAAGAAGATAAAGGCTATTGTTCCGAAAACTTTAGGTCAGAAGTATTTTGTTACTTTCGTCGTAGTGTGGAATTCATAAACACGTCTTTGTTCCGCGACCCAGTTCGCCGATAGTTTACGAATGAGTTTAAAATAGAGCAGGAAGCGATTGATTTTAAGTAAATAGTACTTTTATCATTCTTTTATAGATTTTTGTTAATAATTACCACCAGAGTTCACGTCATGAAATCTTAAATAAGCTTATGGTAACCCCTAATAATTGTATAGGTTTAATAAATAATGATCAAAACCGTTCCAAGGCTTATAAATCTGTGTTATGAATTATACGTTTTGTTGTTTGGCAGGTATTTAAAGTAACTACGTTAGGGTCGTTTTGCAGTGAAAATACACTTCAGTGTGATAGAGTCACTAGAGTCACCGTGGTAGAGTCACGAAAGTAAAGGACACATTCGCAGAATACAAGCGTTGAATAACAGCATAACGCTGCTGTGTTTTATATAAGTGATTGTTCTACCATTCTTCTTATTTTTCAGTTATCAGTGACACACCGCATCTGCATTTTGTTTGTGGTATTTATCCGCCATTACATATAGTTTAGGTGATTAAAGATGTCTGTAATTTTTTTAAGTGAAATAAATATACTTAAATTATATTTACATCACTTAAATTTGTGAAATTTTGCTCGCACAATGTTAAATCCACTTTTGTTATGCTATTACCTTGTAGAAGTAGTAAATATAAAGAAAAATTAAAACAAATATTATTATATAAAAATAAAAGTAAAGATAATATATTAATATACCTGTAAGCATTATTTTTACCCGCCTCAACCTATCACTCGGACCATAATTTGCGGAGCATCAAGTCTTATCACGATTCGAAACATCAAACAAATTTATTCCTCATAACAAACTTAAGACGGTCTTTTTTCACTTGAAACAATTCTAATTGCATCTCAGTTACCGTCTATGAACATACGTTTACAAGGCGCGGAGTTAAAATAGGCCTCGATATATTTTACCCAATTGCAAGTGACAGGCGATGGCTGATCTTTAATTTCGAATCTCTTATCGTCTAGTCTCATTGTAATTGAAAAGTAAAAAATATACGTCAGACCTTATTAAGTTGATTAAAAGGAAAGTAGGTTTCGACTGCGGAACAACAAAATATTCTTTTTTTTTCATAATCTAAAAAGGTCAATCGCATATTGAGCCTCTTTGTAGCACGATATTAGATTTTTGTCAGGCCCGTACACGAATATAATGGTATTTTTAATTAAAATTCTGACAAACACTGACGACCGTATAAAAAGACACGTGCAAACCCGAATATAAGATATTTCCTACGTGAACTCTTTTGGCGGGTAAAAGCCGTTTTATCGCTAGTAATTTATTATCGATTGGTGCTCTCAGATTAGTCGATAAATGTTATGTGAAGGTGAAATCTTTCATCTCGTATATTACTATCGTAAAAACGTATGAATTATGTATCACGATATAATTTATAGATTGACACTAAGTTACGGGAGAATAAAAATATAAGTAAAAATATTCTCAAACAATTCCCTATCAGTCTAAATTTACTGCTGAACAGTAGCTCTTTAGATACCTTTTTTTTTTTGAAAATAAAATAAGGGTGATAAACGAGCAAAAAATCCACCTGGTGGAAAGTGGATACTGTGGCCCATAGACATCTACATTCCTCGGTTAAGAATTAAATTGCAGATGCGTTGTCACCTCTGATCCCTTCCCCGGTCGAGCCGACCCATTCGTACTGCAACAATAATATAACTGCAGCATGGCTCTACCACGTAAAAAAAGGAAAGTTGCCCGCGTAGTGTGAAACTTACAGCAAACGCTTAGCCCCTGAACTACCATCTACCACTTAAATATAGAAGTAGTCATATTTCATTAGCAGTAATAAAGCCTTGATAATGTTAATTAAATCTAGAGAATACTACAAATATACCTCTTCATAATTTTTTTTTTTTTTTATAGAAGAGGGGGCAAAGGAGCATGTGGCTCACCTGATGTTAAGTGACTACCGCCGCCCATGATCAACTGCAACACCAGGGGAATTGCAGACGCGTTGCCGGCCCTTTAGAAAGGAGTAAGCTCTTTTCTTGAAGGTCCCCAGGTCGTATCGGTCCGGAAAAATCGCTGGTGGTAAATTATTCCACAGAGAGGTTGTACGCGGAAGAAAACTCCTTTTGAAACGTACAGTGGTGGACCGCCAAGCATCCAGATGGTGTGGATGGTATCGGGACGTTTGCCGCGTAGTGCGTTCACGAAATTTGGCGGCTGGGATTAATCCGAACAATTCCTCAGAGCACTCTCCATGGTATATGCGAAAGAAAATGCAAAGGGATGCAACATCTCTTCGCAGTGCCAGAGAATCGAGGCGATCGGAAAGCACTCGGTCGTCGACGATTCGAGCCGCTCTGCGCTGGATGTGGTCAAGTGGAAGGAGCTGGTACTGGGGAGCCCCAGCCCAGAGATGGGAACAGTATTCCATGTGCGGCCGAACCTGCGCCTTGTAAAGTTGCAGGCGGTGTGCCGGCATGAAATACTGTCCCGCTCTGCTGAGCACGCCAAGCTTTTTAGAGGCCAATTTGGCCTTCCCTTCCAAGTGACCACGAAACTGCACGTCACTCGATATGTCGACGCCGAGGATTCCGATACTGGCTGAGGCAACAAGGGGAGTGCCTTGAAACTGAGGGGATACGACAAAGGGGTTCTTTTTAGCGGTTAACGCGCAAACTTGTGTCTTCTGGGGGTTAAACTGGACTAGATTTAGTCGCCCCCAATCCGAGACTCTGTCCAGCAGAGACTCGACTTCAGACACAAGTTTGTCCCGGCACTCGGAGACGTTTTCCCGAGAAATATTGGCTCGGCCGGTGTAAAGAGCATCACCAGTGCTGTCATCCGCATAGCAATGAATGTTACGGGTCTGCAACATATCATTGATATGCAGAAGAAACAGCGTTGGCGATAGCACGCAGCCCTGTGGAACACCAGCATTAATAGGCTTGCAATCGGAGCTTGCACCGTCTACAACGACCTTGATGCTCCGATCTGCAAGAAAACTGGTGATCCAATCGCACAATTTCTCGGGAAGCCCATAGGAAGGGAGCTTCGAAAGAAGCGCTTTGTGCCAAACCCGATCGAAGGCCTTCGCAATGTCCAAACTAACGGCCAATGCCTCCCCCTTGGACTCTACTGCCTCCGCCCATCTATGAGTTAGGTAGACCAGAAGATCACCAGCTGACCTACCACGGCGAAAACCGTATTGGCGGTCACTAATCAGCTGGTGATCCTCAAGGTACCTCATGAGCTGGCAGTTTACAATGGACTCCATTGTTTTGGAGAACAAGGAGGTGATGGCGATAGGCCGGTAGTTGGACGGGTCTGAGCGGTCGCCTTTTTTAGGGATCGGGTGGACGAAAGCCGTCTTCCATGATTTTGGGACTACGCCTAGGGAGTAGGAGTACCGGAAAAAACGCGTTAAAACCGGTGCCAACTCTGGAGCACACGTCCTCAGCACAATTGGGGGAATTTCTGAATTTCGTGTAAATGAATCCTTAATTTAATTTATCTCTAAAATTTTGAGATACCATAAAAATATTATTGCTTGAAAAATATCCGTCTAATGAAGGCTATGAAATTTTGACAATGTCCCCGTCCTGAGAGTTACGTTTTTATTTCGCTTTTAACCTTTTCATCAAGGTCTCAAGAGACCCAAATTGACAATGAAAGTGTTTAGGCACATACAGCCTGAATAGGGTGACCGGATTGAAAATATAAAAAGTCAGGACAAAACCTTTGAAGACTAATAACTGAATTTAAATATATCTGAATGATCAAGTAATTTTAAAGAGGCTTGTAGTGACACTGTAGGACCATTACTATGAGAAATGCTAGTAAGACGGATAGATGCTAGTGTAAAACCTCCCATGAAAATGTTCTTCATTATCTACTTTAATAATTTCTTGCGGGATTGTTTAATGTGATTTAAGAATGCACCATCTGGACAGTGTTACTTGAAAAATCGCAATGAGCCCCGTTACCAGCATAATACACACACTATAGAGTAAACACCAGCATCATGCTACAATTTCAAGTTCGTATTTTGTGTGAAAAGGTAAAGTCCAATTAAACATTTTTTCGATTAAAACCAGAGTCTTCTAAATGATGACCACGATTCGATCGCTAGATCAACGAGGGATACATTTATAGTATATGTCAATATGAACGATGAGTTTACATACAAATTATCAGGACAGTCTTATTTAGTTCAAGTCGTCTGGCCTCCAAGGCTCCTATCGACGTGTGTAAATATTTCCGGAGCAAACAAAAAGGGGTGGTGTATATATATATCGCTAATTGTCACTTAACAGCTTGTGGAATCAACAATATTAATCATGTGAAACAAACTCATAGCAGATGTTTGGTACTGTAGTTTTTTTTAAATAAGGTTCAGTCTGTTAAAAAGACAAAATAAAATCGGGACATGGTTTTATTAATTTTCATTAATATTATATTACCTTATACGTGGTAGTGCCACACTATTGCTATGTATTATGGTTGTAGCAGGAATGGGTCGGTTTGACCGTGGTGGGACCACTGTCTCACAAAATAGATAACCGAAAACCCTTTTTACTGGAAACGAGACATTCCATATTTTATTCATTTTTATAGAATAGGGGACAAACGAGTATGCGGCTCATCTGGTATAAGTGACTACCGCCGCCCATATAAAACTGCAACACCAGGGGAATCGCAGGTGCGTTGCCGACCTTTTAGAAAGGAGTAAGCTCTTTTCTTGAAGGTCCTTAAGTCGTATCGGTCCGGAAAAATCGCCGGTGGTAAACGATTCCACAGAGGGGTTAAAAACTGCGAGTGAAAAGTACAGTGGTGGACCGTCAAACATCCAGATGGTACGAATTTTGTCGCGACGTGCGTTAGTGGAATTTGGCGGCTGGGATTAATCCGAAAATTCCTCAGAGCGCTCGCCGTGGTATAAGCGATAGAAGATGTAAAGGTTTGCAACGTCTCTTCGCAGCGCCAGAGAATCGAGCCGATCGGAGAGGACTCGGTCGACGACGATTTGAGACAATCTGCACTAGATGCGGTCAAGTGGAAGGAGCTGGCACTGGGCAGCCCCGGCCCAGAGATGGGAACAGTGTTACATGTGAGGCCGAACCTGCGCCTCGTAAAGTTGCCGGCAGTGTGCCGGCATGAAATACTGTCCCGCTCTCCTGAGAACGCCAAGCTTTTTAGAGGCCAATTTGACCTTCTTTTCCAAGTGATCACGAAACTGCACATCGTTCAAAATGTCTACACCCAGGATTCCGATACTGTACTTTTTAGCGGTAAACACGCAAACTTGTGTCTTTTGGGTATTGAACTGGACTAGATTTAGTTGCCCCGAAACCGAGACTTTGTTCAGCAACCACTCGATTTCGAACACAAGTTTGTTCCGGTACTTAGCGACGTTTTCCCTATAAATATTGGCACAGCCGGTGTATAGAGCATCACCAATGCAGTTGGCATCATATCACTGATATGCAGGAGAAATAGCGTCGGTAGCACGCAGCCTTGTGGAACACCAGCATTAATAGGCTTGTAGTCGGAGCATGCCTCGTCTACTACTAGTACTATCTTGATGTTCCGATCTACAAGAACGCTGGCGATCTAATTGCACAATTTCGCAGGTAGCCCCTAAGATGGAAGCTTCGAAACAAGCTTTGTGACCTTTGTGTCAAATCCGATCGAAGACCTTCGCAATGTCCAAACTAACCGCAAAGGCCTCCCCCTTGGACTCGACCGCCAACGCCCATCGGTCTGTTAGGTAAACAAGAAGATCACCATCTTGGTCCCCAGGGGTGACAATGCATCGGCATTTTGATTCTTAATCGAAGACAAATGTGGATGTCTATGAGCCACAGCATCCACTTACCATCAGGTGGAATGTGTGCTCGTTTATCACTCTCATTCTATAAATAAAAGGCTTCTAACAAGACATATAATAAAAAATCGGGACATGATTTAATTAATTTTCAATAACACTATATTATTTCAATAA